AGCCCCTCTAGGGACAGGAAAGACGCGACTCACGTTGTCGATCACGACAGGCTGGTTGGCGATCACATCGTAGGACTCCATGGCTGAGGAATCGCTCCCTCGGAGGAAGGAACTGCCAGCCGGGTCCGCCGCGAGCGCCACTGACGCGCATGCGCAGTCCGGCCGCCGGGTCCGGCGACGAGGGAGCGGCCCGACCGCGCCTTCAGAGAACTACAACCCCCGGCATGCTCTGCGGCCGCGCGGGCGGTCCCGCCGGCGTCCGAGCCCCGCCCCGTGGGAGCTGGGCCCGCATTTCCGGCGCACAGGACCCTGGGAGCTGTAGTCTCCGTGGATGGGGGAGCGGCGACCCGGGGTGGCCGGGGTCGCCAGCCCGGCTCGGTCCCTTTGACGCGGCTCGCCACGCGCGCCGAAGCCCGGAGACTTCTCCAGTGCTCGCTCGTAGTTCGCTTCGATCGGTCAGCAGTTCGTGGATGTCTGGATTTTGCGGGTCAGGCCTGCCACGCCCCCGCCTTTCCTTGGACGGCATGTGGTTGCCATGTTTCATTTCGGTCCCTGAGCGTCGAAGGAGCATTCCCCAGCACCTCCCACGGGGAGGACACGCTCCCCCAGACAAGGAAACGTCACTTAAATCGCACGGAGTTAGCTTTAAAAATAAGAGCTGTGCATGGTCGTTGCTTTTCGCATTTTTCCCTGGGTAGGCGAAACTTCGTGATGGACTAACATTGGTCCGAAACACCGTCTGAGGGCTTCGGGGGCTGCTTCGGTCTCTCTGATTGCCACGAGGGTTTGCAGCTGACGTCGACGAACGAGGAAAGGGAGCGGAGAGAGCTTGCGTGCCGCGGGATCGGTTCAGCTCCTGGCCCTGCAGCTCGCAGGGACCCGTGTGCTGGTCGCACGGGAAGCATCGGATTTGAGTCTGTCAAGACTGGCGCCGCACGACGAACCCATCGGCCCACTGCCGGGCCTAGGCTTCAGGCGCTGCCGGCGGAGCGCCGCGACTTCGCTGCGCCGCCGGACCCCAGCCGCGCGGAAGGACACCGGGCCCTCCTGCC